AAGGCACATAAAAAAATGTTTGATATCCCAAGTTATTAAAGAAGTGAAAATTACACTTCTATTAGAATATTGGGCTGGGGTTGTACCTCAGTGGTAGAGTGCTTGCCCAGCATGTGTGAAGCACTGGGTTTGATTCTCAGCATCACATATAAATAAATAAGTAAAGGTCCATTGACAACTAAAAAAAATATTTTAAAAAAAGAAAGAATATCCAAAATCAAACACAAATCACACCAAGTGGTTGCAAGTATGTAGAGCAACTGAAGTCGATATGCTGTTGAGACAGACGTAAAATGGCACCATCACTTTACAAAATCACTCCACAATATTTTTTTAATTAACTATATACTTATTACTAAACATTAGCTTTACTATATAACCAAGAAATAAGAATCACGTTTATTGAAAGACTTTTATAACAAATGTTTATCACAGTTTTATTTGTAGCAGTCGAAAATTAGAAGTAACCTACACTTACAAAACAGATAAATGGATGAATTTTTGTCTATCCACTACTTGGCAATACACTTGATACAAACAACAGCTTGGTGAATAGGGGTAACCAGATAAAATTGTGTGATTCACTTCATACAAAACTCTAGGAAATGCAAATTATAATGATAAAAAGAAAAGTGTTTGCTGGAAGATAGGAGTATGGTGGGGTGAGAGATGGAGGGATTACCAAAGAGTAGGAGAAAGTTTTTAAAGGTGATGGATATCTTTCTTATCTTGGTGGTCATGATTTCACCAGTCAAAGCTTATCAAATTATATACTTAAAATATGTGAAAAGTACCTACATTGTATTGTAAGGGTAAAAGAAATTGAAGTTAAAGCGTAAAAGTTAAAGGGTAAAAGATCGGGTGTTGTAAATTTTCTAAGCTGCAAGGTCTGAGTTAGCTGTTAAGACAATGCTTAGAACCACCCAGTAAACATTTCTCCTGATTGGTTGTTTAATAACTGAAGGGGTCTGTGTGGTTGCACGCAGGCATTGCAGGGCCTGGACCAATCAGTTTAAATGTAACCCCCTCCTTAGGAATGACCTATCACTCCAGCCTGACCTGTTCCCGCCAATGAATGAACCAATCATGTTTAGGAGTTGTTGTTCAATTTTCCCGCGCCTCATGATGATTTGTTCTGATGTATACAAAGCCCTCCGCCCTCCCCAAAAAGTATACTTAAGCAATCCTCAGCCCCTGCTCGGGACTCTGGGCTGCTTTCCCTTCTTGAGTGGGCACGGAGCCCCAGCATGCTGGTTCAATAAATCCCCCTTCTGCCAATTGCATGAGTGGTCACTTGGTGGTCTCTTTCTCCGACGTTTCGCGGGACCCTTACAGTATCAAAACAAAGATGTTAAGAAAGCTCCTGTCTCTTATACACACACACACACACACACACACACACACACTCACAATCTATCCTTTTAAGTTGAATCAAATTTAAATACCAGTTCTAGCCAAGACTCACTTATTAGGAAACATTAAGAAAACTGTCACTTACCTAGAATTCTGGCCACAGAGTTCTCTTTTAAGAACTACACTATAGGCTGTGGGATGGAATGAACAAAGCTTCACAAAGAACTGGGATCCTGAGTCCTCAGTAATAAGAATGTTTAGGGTTCCCTTGTGACAGACTACTGTGTCTCCACCAAAAATTTTCCCTCTTTTGAGATTTGATAGTATATGATTACAAAAAAAAAGAAAAAGAAAGAAAACCCTTCTTTCTGTTAGGTATGGCCACATGACTATTTTTAGCAACAAAAAATGAGCAGAAATTATGACTCCCATATATGAAGTAGGCATTTAAAAAGCAAGTTGTCTCCTTGAATTTTATTAACCCTTCCACCATATTGATGCTAACAATATGGTCCTTGGGTATGACTGAGCCACAGGATGAAAGAAATCCTACATGGTCCATAAATTCCACATGGGACAATGACACCACTAGTTAACACTCATGTTAGAATTCTTACATGAGCAAGAAATAAATTTCTTCAGTATTTCATCCATTATACATAAATAAAATTTTATTTTTAGAGTACATTATCCTACTCTAACACACCAAAAATTGCAAAGGTCAGGAAAACCTCTTCCCCCCCATACAGGGAAGGATCAATGTTGCCAACTTACCCTAATGATTTTCCCTAAGTCTATTTGGGCAAACCTTCCCCAGAATCTCAGGTAGTACTTCTATTTTTAAAATTATTTAAGGTCATTGACTGATCTCTTTTGATTCTCCACGTGAATTTAAGCTTTACTATGTAGGTAGAGCAGAGCCGGTCAATCCTTTTATCTTGGAGCTATTGCATGGGAAAATAAGTGGGAAGGCAACAATTACTGAGGGAGATTTCTCCCTAAACTTCCACCAGCCCCTTGGGCGCTGGTCTTCCCACTCTTATCTCCTTCCTATTTCTTCCAATTGACATGCAGATCAGGATGAGGAGTATCTATCTGGTCTCTGACCTTCCACAGATTTATCTCCCAAATGAAACTATACACTAGAACCAACTAGTACAAGCGAATTCTTCTTATCCCAGACATCAGAGTTGGTCCTGAGGGTGAATTAGTATTTTCTCAATCCATGAAGGAGCTCCAAGTGCCCAACAGACCTAAGGCTAAAGGCAGGGGCCAAATGCAGTAGTTACATATTCTCTTGCCTTACTATCATCTTTCAAAAGTTGACTTTGGGGATATATTGAAATTTCTTTCCTCTACCACTACCCTTTATAAAAATTCCTTAGTGTGTGTGTGTGTGTGTGTTGGGGGGAGGGGTCGTTGTCAAAATGTGTCTCTTTAATGAACATTTATACCCTGGTCCATAGGCTGTTACACCAGGGCTCCCTTTGGGATAGAAATTTGATCACAGAGTCCTGTCCAGAGCTGTCCAGTAGGAATATGATGTGAGCCAAATATGTAATTTTACATTTTCTAGTTATCAACATTAAAAAAGGAAAATGAAACAGATGAATAATAAATTTTATTTAACATAATGTATCCAAAATATAATCACTGCAATATACAATATAAAGGTTTATAGTGAGATATTTTACATTATTTTTAGTCAAAAATCTAGTATGCATTTTACACTTACAGCATGTTTCAGTCCAGACTGGTCACATGCAAGGTGCTCAACTCCACTAGTGGCTCCTGGCTATGGTGACAGATAGCTTCCACCACTACATTAACCTCATAATATGTTTATAGTTGACTCAGAAAACATATATCACAAAAACAAAAAAGAAAGCACATGGCACCCCTCCACCAAAATCACAGTGGCTCATACCTGCTATTTGTGCTGGGCATAAATAAAAGGGGATATGGAGTAATGGGGAAAAAAAAAAAAAATCACCCTCTTCCTCAAAGTGTGTTAATTATATTTTTGCTTCCCATTTTTTCTCCCATTCCAAGAGAAGAGTCTTTATTAGGCTGATCATTTTCTTGTCATCCTCCCCTCAACTTTTTTTTAAATTTTAATTTGCTTGGGAGGCATATTTCTTTTTCATTTTTTGTTTGCTTATCCTTAAATTTTTAGGTCAAGTCTAAAGTTTATGGTAGAAGTTAGAGGGAAGGATGAATTTACAATTTCTTTCTTCATTTTGAACTTAAAGCCACTGAAATCACAACGGTTTGCATTTAGCACTGGATTCTACATTTAATTACACAGTAATTTCTTTGCTCATTATTGCATTTTTTAAAAGAAATCATAAGAATATAAAATTACAGGTCAATTTCTTTCATAACAGATAAAAATAAGACCTAAACAAAATGTTAGCAATAATGACACATGGTTTATTTGCCTCTAATGATTAATAATAATTTATTTCAGAAATTTATGGTAGATTTAACAACTGAAACAAACTGATGTACTTGTCCCTGATAGCAGAATAAAAACGACAATTATCTCAATAACTACAGGATATCTGTTGAATTCAGTTTTTCATTTAGTACAAAAACTTGAAGCCAATTAATAGAAGAGAATTTCTTAAGTTGACCCCGTGTGTCAATAGAAATCTTTCCATCAAATACGATGTCTGCTTAATGATAAAATAGTGAAAGCTCCCCTGATCTTCTTTAACATTGGTCAAGGATGTTCAACATCACCACTGGGTGTATGTTCAACAGGAAGGGAGTGAGAACACAGAAAACTGATCAGAAAGGAGACTCATGCAGATGAGCTGCGGGGTGAAGGTTACTACTCAGCTGTGAGTGGGGGCAGCCGAATACTCAGGAGCTTGGGCGACGCAGGGTCATCGGGACTACACAGTCGCAAGGATTAAAATATGGACAAACGGCAGTAGGAAAGTAATATTTGGTGAAGGTGTAGATGGGCAAGCCATGGTTCGTGACATTATAAAAGGAGACAGTGCCAGCCTCATAGTCTAAGAAAACTCCAACGCGGCGAGGGGGCACTGTCATAGACAGGAGCAGGGAAGTGGAAGCATCCTCATAGGCTCTATATTCATGTTTATGCTGTAACCCAATCACCCAGTATCCAGTCTGTGGTTGGTATCTCGAATAGGCATTCTGCTTGTTAGCAAACTGGCTGCCAGAGAATGCAGGTCCCATGGAATTGCTACACACTCCCAGGATCCAGGCAGTCTTCCTGGTCACGTCTACTTCCCAGTAGTATTTTCCTGAGGAGAACTGCTGAGAGCCCAGGACACTAAAGTCATGATGTTCTTCCAGACAGGAAGTCTCAGACAGCTTAGTACCCACGAATCTCACCTGTCTCCGGTTTTTCGACAGGACAAGATTTAAATTAGCCGTGTGGGGATTCATAGTCACGTCCACTGTAGGAAAAGGTACAAATATCAGATGAGAATGGGCACAGGGGTCCTGTGACACAAAGAAGGGAAAGAAGAGATGGTTGGGAGGAATTGGAAGTAGGTGATAGGGGACAGGAATGTCTCAGACCTGAGAGAATGTGTGAATTTGTTTGGGGTGTGGAACATGTGAAAGGGCATCAGACAGGTCAACTCAAAGAGGCCATGGTTTCCACTCACCCCAGTAGCTCTGGACATCTGTCAGCTCTGTAAGATAAAGAGTAAAATATGTTGAATAGAACCAAGGTTCTTGGGTCTGACACCTCTCCCCTTACCAGACTGAGCAGAATGCGAGGGAATGCTGTGAGCATATGAACTGGTCATTTCCTCTTCCCTTAAGCATGAATGACATCTTTAGTACAACCCGTCCCTCACTTTGTGTCATCCCTCCTCACCATTATTCCCAAGAGCAACTACACCCTCTATCCTCATTATTTCTTACCACTACAGTAATTCCACATCCAAACTCTTTCTTTACATTCTCCTCACCTCGAAACACTCGCAGCATCTTTTTCAGATCTGGGGCTCGGAACATACTTCTCAGCTTGGTAGGGAGAGCTGGGGGGTCCCTCAGGGTCCAGAATTCACTCCTAGGGAGGACAGACATTATGAGCTCCATAATGTGACCCTGGGTTCCTCCACAATTCTGTCTCCCTCACCTCTCAGGCCTATTGATGAATTTAAGATTTAACTTCTTAATGCATCATGTTTCTTTGTTTTTCTGTTGTTATTTTTATAAAATGCAATGATTTTTCTTTTTCCTATTTCCTAGAAATAGTGGGGAATTGAGGAGAATATTGGCTAGGTAATCCTCTGCTACCTCTAAAAAAGGTACAAAATATTTAAAATATCAGTACTGTATCAGACTCCCACCAGGAGGGCTGTGGATGTCAGAGCAGACAGGTAAAACCCAGGAATCTGCTCCTGGGGCTTTGGAAGTGCCCAATGCAGAGCTTCCTTCAGTCTGTGGGCTTAGGCCCTAGCACCACTAGATGCCCAGCAGGAAGGCTTTTAAAACAGGATCTCAGGATTCATTGTCTTTAGGGATGTTACACCTGGAGAAACAAGATGTCCTCACCTTCAAACTGAGTGAAAATAGACTCTGTGCTTCATTGTCTATAAGGAGCCTGAAGGTGCTGGGTGTGCGGGCAAATTTAGCTGTCTGTCATCTTGTTGGATAAGATTCTATACTACGTGATGGAGAAGAAAACAGCTCTGGGACCAAAACTACTTTGTTCTTATGTCTCAGGTCTATATTTTTACTGAAACTGAGACAAATGGAAATCTGAGAACTAGGTGCTAAGGCCTGGACTATACCAAAGCCAGTGGAGAAAGGCAAATTTAAGGCTCATGCCCCAAGAGCAAATGCTCAAACCCATGCAAACAACACAGATGGAAATTTCCCTCAATAAAATGCGGAGGCAAAGAACATCCCTGTGCATGCTGAGGTAGCTTTAACCAGGGATGAAAGCAGAGACAGAGGTTTGTGGAAAAGGAGTCATGTGACACAGAGTATGCAGGGGTCACTGACACTATAACCCTTTATTGTCAGCAACAGTACTTCTCAATGGCAGACAACTTTATTTCCTCCCATCATTCAAATTCTCCTATCATGGAATCTGCTCCCTTTATTTTGCGATCCCCAAATTTTCATGTGACAAGTGATTCAAGACACCACAGTACTAAATCTTCCCTCTCTGAGACTTTTTCCCCCTCTTTCCCATTTACTACAATACAAATCTGAGTAGGATCTTTTGTTAATCAGGAGAATCAAAAGTTGGGCATGGCAATGCATGCCTGTAATCTCAAAAACTTGGGAGGCTGAAGCAGGAGGATTGTAAATTCAAGGCCAGCCTCAGCCACTTATCGAGACCCTCAGCAACTTAATGAGATCCTGTTTCAAAATGAAAAAGGTTGATTGTGTGGCTCAGTTGTAGAGTGTCCCTGGGTTCAATCCCTAGTATCACAGGAGGAGGAAAGAAAATAGGGAGGAGATAGAAAATAAAAATCACAAGGGAAACAGCTCATGTTCTCTACACATACCTCTGCATGACATCACTCACATCCTAGAAAAGAAAAAGACAGTTTAAGCCAAGGCATAACAGGTCATGTCCTCAGCCCATTTCTACCACGTCATGATGCAAAAGGAATATAGTCACAAACGAGACAAAAACTTAGGGCAGATTGACCCTTAGTACTCATGTGAAGACATCAGAGACAAATCATTATTCCTTTATTTTTACATTATGTGTGTGTGTGTGTGTGATGTTATGTTTATACCACCTATTATTTGCCATGCACCGTGCCTTGGGAATAATGAAGTCATGATTCCTAACCTTGAGAGACATTCTACTCTGGCTACTGCAGATGCAAACTCAGAGTCTTTTAAAAGGTTATCTTGCAAACCTTATCTTCTCTGACCTTCTACCTGACTTTTGCTGACTTCAACCATTGCCTTGATTTTAACATACATGTATTGATGATTATCAAAATCTGTACTTCTGCTGAGGCCTCTATCATCATGCAGATTATATATATATATATATATATATTTTTTTTTTTTTTTTTTTCCCCAGCAAATGAGCTACTAGTACTGCAATGACTATCTTGACTCCCAGCCTCCTGAATGATACTAGCAGCCACTTAGTCCCCAAACATAGACAAAATACTGTCATAAAAGCCACCATATATCGATCTGACATCTCCTCTTTGACCATGCCAGTTCATCTCACCCCCTTGCCTTCTTTTAGCCACCTGTCAGTCACCTTCATTATTGCCACTTCCTGGCTCATTTCAGCAGAATTGACCACTTACCTCCTATTTGACTTTCTAATTTCTGCTGTGTATACCTGAATGACCCCAAAGACAGGGTGGAATGATAAGAATGAGGAAAAGCTCCAATAAGGTGGAAAATTACTATTCCACGATTCCAATGCTAGCACCCAGGAATAAGTAAAGAAATAATTAGTTCACCAGCAAAGGCAGAGTGAAAGGAAAGCAAGAAGGTGAACAAAAAATAAGGGACAGCCTAAAGGTTCCAAGATAGGTCTACCTGGCCCCCACTATTTAGTCTTACTCATCATTCCATGCAGTAACCAACCGTTTTAAGTTTCAACTCAGTTCAAGTTTCAGTCTCAGTTCAAATTCCTCCATCAAATCTTTCCAGACTGGATACCTTGTATTCTTCCAAACCACCCACACTTAGACCAGAGACCAGCCCCAAAACCTGTTCAAATATCTGTTACTGAAACCTGCTCAATGATTCTTTCTTAGAGAAGAGAGTAAAAGCAAAGAAGGGCTGGTAATTATATATCCTCTAAGAACCTGAGCTTGGCATGCATCTTCCTGTGACTAAACTGAGCAAATTCCCAGTATAGCAACAGAGACAGGAGGTGCCTGAAAAACAGTGGTTTTCAAGTGGGGGCAGGGTTTGATATGTTCTCCCTGGCAATCTGGGGATTGAGAAACAATTGAGTATCACTGGATATAGGAGGTCTTTCCACACAAAATCAAACAAACTTTTAGACTGCCCTTCATAAGTAATAAATACAAATATAGCATTTGTACTCTAAATTACCTTATGCTTTGTATGGAGAATCCTTGGAAAACTGGGAATGGAACCACCTTTTGACCCAGCTATCCCACTCCTTGGTCTATACCCAAAGGACTTAAAAACAGCATACTACAGGGACACAGCCACATCAATGTTTATAGCAGAACAATTCACAATAGCTGAACTGTGGAACCAAACTAGATGCCCTTCAGTAGATGAATGAATAAAGTAAATTTGGTATATATACACAATGGAATATTACTCAGCATTGAAAGAGAATAAAATCATGGCATTTGAAGGTAAATGGATGGAGTTAGAGAAGATAATGCTAAGTGAAGTTACCCAATCCCCAAAACAAATGCCAAATGTTTTCTCTGATATAAGGAGGCTAATTTATAATGGGATTAGGGTGGGGGGGGATGGGAAGAATAGATGTACTTAGATAGAGCAGAGGGGTGGGAGAGAAAGGGAGGGGCATGGGGGTAGAAAAGATGGTGGAATGAAATGGACATCATTACCCTAAGTACATGTATGAACACATGAATGGTGTGACTCTACTTTGTGTACAACCAGAGATACGAAAAATTGTGCTCTCTATGTGTAATATGAATTATAATGCATTCTGCTGTCATATATAACAAATTAAAATTAAAAAAAATTACCTTATGCTTTGCCATTCAAAAGGGAAGAGGCATTATTGGGCCAAAGGATTTAGTTTTCCTCACCCCTACCAAGCTGTTGGTTCTGTTTCCCAGAAAAAAAGGAAAGTTGGTTTCTCTTTTTCTTGACTCTCACATTTGAGGCTCCATTAAGTCTTACCTGCAGCAGATCCATTACTGAGCCCTGGCATCGATGCTCCAGATTTGAGATAAGCTCTTCCAGTGACTGGCTCTGGTAGATCACCTCCTCCTCGGCTTTCTCTATAATGCTCAGCCCCTTCCTTTCTTCCTCCTCCAGCTTCTTCAGTTCCCGCTGTTCCTCTTTGTCCAGGATGCTTCGCAGCTGACTAAACTCTGTCTGGATCCTCTGTCTCTCGGGCTCCATCTGAGTCTTCAGTATCAAGGAAGAAAAAGGGGTTGCTGTTGGGTGAGCTGAGTGTCTCTTCCACAGGGGATGAGGGAGGCAGGTTCAGCACTGCTTTCCTGGGCCAGCCTCACTGAGACAGGAAATGCCTGCAGGTACAGATCTGTGGTAGCTATTTCTTTTTTTTTTCTCCATTCTTTTGTTTTCAGACCAATAGCCCCAGGATGCCTTATCTAAGCCTTTTAGATATAGACTAATTCCATAAAGGTTTAGATTTCAGGGCAGCCTCTCTAGCCTCTCCTGGTTCTGTACCAGCCTCTGCTTCCAGGGGTAATAAGGTCGTTAATTATTGGCCTATGACTAAATTGGCATTCCCAGTAACCCAAACTAAAATAAGAACCAGAATTATGAATTTGGGACAACTTCTAGCCCTGGTTCCTCTGCTAGGTGATTGCTTCAAAGACCTGGGTTCACTTTTGATATGTTATATAACTCCATCTGAGTCCCCCTGCACATGGGAAATGCTCTGGTCTGGAAGGGATGCAGCCAGGGATGAGGCGAAGGGAAACACTACTAGGCATAATTTCAGGAACAGACAAAACCAGGACTCCTTTGCCCTCTGCTCCTATAATACCCTTGGGAGGAATCTTTCTTGCCTTCCAGGATGCCCTCTTCTCTTTGATAAAAGCTCTTAGCTTCTCAGCTTCCTGCTGTTCTTTCCTCAACTTCTTCAGAGACTCCTGGAACATCTCCTGGAAGAAACACATCAGGGTAACAGGGTCAAACTCGAGATTGTTTCAGTACCTAGACGTGCAATAAACTAGGCAGAGATCATGCTGACCTTAGAAGGAGGCTGTCCTACCCTGGGATGAAAAATTGAGACAGCCCAGATCATCTTATATACACAGGGATGGAGATCAACAAGAATGGGCCAGTTATCTTTCTCCTGGGCAAAGAATCTGACCACAAAACAACTTCACTCCTTTACTTTCATTGCCAATGTACTTCCCACCTTCAATCCACTGGCTTCCTTTTTACCCCCAGCAGCTCATTCTAATCAATCTTGTGCAAGAAGGAAAAGACAAAGTCTACACTCCTGACCAGGAAGGCATTTTCTAGGCTCATCCTTTGGGTAAACAGAGGGTGAGGGCGTGGTGGACTACAAAGAAGTTAGATCAAAGCATCATGTCAAGTTAAAACTTGCCGAGGACCCTGCTCCTCCCTGTCCTCCTTCTATCCCGGGCTCCCACCTGGTACTCCTGGGCGACCTCCTCCATGAGAAATGTATGGTGGCCACGGTGTTCCTGAGAACGCTCGCAAAGCCAGCAAATTAGCTTCCCATCCTCTTTACAGAAGAGCTGGAGTTTTTCTCCATGGTGTGCACAAAGAATTACCTGCAGCTGCTTCCCTGGGCACAACACTACCTCTCTGAGCCGCTGCGCTATGTTGGCCAGGTGCCGATTAGGCCGGAGGTTCCTAGGCTGGTAGCTGGTCTGGCACACAGGACAATTGCGCTCCTTGTCCTGGCTCATCTCTGATTCCTCTCTATTCTCTGTGATGCAGGCCTGGCAGAAGCTGTGGCCACAGTCTGTGCTCAAGGGTTCGGTCAGGAGCTCCAGGCAAAGGGGGCAGGTCACCTCATCGCGGATGTCCCCCAGAACTGTTGAAGTCATTGTAGCTACTTTGCTGTCTCCTGCCTGTCCAGCCCTGCTTCAAAGGTGGTCCTGCTATGGAATCCTAGGTAAAAGAACAAACAAACAAAAGAGGCTCAGGCTAAGAAAGGAGATGTTTATTATCCTGTGCTGGATACAGGTCCGACACTTGGGGCAAACTTCTCATTCTAATTTCCAACACTTTCTTTACCCCAACTCATATGAGACACCAGTTTCCACCTTGTCAGAGTGATGATTATTATTTTTTCTTACTCCTATTGGATGGAAGGACAAAAGGAAACCCTGAAGAGAAGAGGCCTTGTGTGAGCCATCATCTGTCTGACCTTCCAAAACATCAAAATACATTCTCAAAGTGAAAAGCATGAAAACAGACTATGCCTATGGATTTTTTGCATTTGTTTTTCCCCCTGCAAGAGTGACCCTTCACCCTGGTATCTGTGTGACTCACTCACTTCTCAAATTTTCCTTATCTGAAGGGTCTGCTCTGTCTAGCCAATGTACATTGCAGCTACCATGGAATCACTCTCTGCATACTCACCAGCCTTTTCTTTTTCTCACCGCCTGATATGTATCTTCCTTGTCTGAATATTCCCACTGGAATGTTAAGCTCTCTAACATCAGACTTTTTTATTCACAGCTATAGCCTGGGAAGCTAGCACAATGTGCCTGACACACAGGTCCTCAACATTGGATGAATAAAAATCTAGAACCTCCTCCTCCCTCCAGGTATCGATCACATCTTTCTCTCAAGCTTTTTGTTTTGATCTCTTTGCTTCACTCTCAGCTATCTGATCTCTGAGATCATAAACACCACTGGCTGTGAAGACACTGCCACGTTCCACTCCATACAGAGCTCTTTCATCCTTCTGCTCACCTTCCCAGCCAAGCCCAAAGAAACAGGAATGACTACAATAAGGGGAAGAAATATTTTTATAACTAACACTTCTACCAGTTGTGATTTCTTGCTTTCTTTGTCCTTCATAGGACAACTCTGCATAAGTAAATAAATACAATCTTGGTCCTTCAACAAGGAAATAGAGATGTTAAGTGACTTCAGAAAATCATGCATTTTCTAGGTTATAGAGTTGCCAGAAGCCTATTCTTTTCAGGGTCCTTGTTCAAAGCTGTGTCCTTAATCTCATACTTTTAACCAAAAATAGTTGGTGCTAAATGCAGTAAGAGTCAGGCATGGACCCAGTGCTTTTTGAGTGTGGAAATGGGAACGATCCTATTTGTTGACGGGATTCCACGGAGGCCAGTCATAGCTGTTGACAGGATCTGCAGGGGCCTGTGTGTAAAGAAGGGGTCATTAGGGCAGGTGAGGCCTTATATCCTTCTTGAAAAACACCACCTTTACATTCAATTTATTTTTCTTGGAAGTTTTCAGTTGTTCAATTCAATTACCATCATTTGAAATCACACTGAGAATATTGTTTTGACTTTTAAAAAACTGTTTCCAGCACTGAATCATTTTCACTTGGATTTTTTTTTTTCTTCCCCATTTGCTCTGCTTGCCTAACTGGTTTTGGGAACAAGCGGAATTCCATAATTTGTCTGTGGCTGGTCCTCAGCAAAAGTCATGTATACTGATGCAACATGATCAGTGTGGGCCCAAGACCACAAGGCCCTAAAAATTGTACCAATTTCCTCCCATCTTGACAGTCAAACAGGTTTAAAAAAAAGTATATATATATATATAAGCTCCCTGACATCAGACTTTTTTGTTCACAGCTATAGCCTGGGCAACTAGCACAATGTGCCTGAAACACAGGTCCTCAACTTGGATGAATAAAATAGTTTGGAAATAAGAACACTTCCATCAGAACAAAAGGCCTTAGAAAATGCCCCAGACTACGGGGGTGGGGTGGGGTGCGGGGGGATGCTATAGGACATAAGCATAGCTGAGGAAGGTGACTGTGAGGCACTGTGGCAGATCCAGTGAGTTGAAATGGGACTTCAGTACTGCCACCTAGTGGTCTGTGATGCTCTCACAGGTCCTGGACCTGGTCATCCCTCTACCCTGCTTAGTAAGAACAATGCTAATGTGAAATATTAACATTGACAGCCTATTAGGTACCACACACAAATGTAATTGTTCTGCATGTACTCAACACCACCATGAGTGTCCCTTAGGCCCCATTTCATAGTTGTATTAACTGAAGTTAAGAAGTCAGCTTAAGCGGTGGAAAAGGTATTTGAATACAGACATTCAGAGCTCTTACTACTCCTTTATAATCTTTCTCTCCATGAACATAATTGTTGACAAATTAATGAACCCTGAACACCTAATTAGTATTACTGATAAGTATTACTGTGATAGTATTTAACCACCACTAGAGACACTGTTTGACCAGAGTAATCACACCTGAGAGATCAAGTTGGATTTTCAATATCTCCTGTGACAGCCACACCATTTCACTTAGCACAAGCACTGAGGCTGTACTGTCTTTGTTAGATTAGCAGTATGAAGGCAGAGGCGCAATCTCTCTTGACCATTCCATGTAACCCAGAACCTAGCACTGCACCTGGAATAAAAGAGTAATTAATATTATTTGAATTTCAAATTATATTTGGATTTGAGCTTATATTTGGAGTTGATGATGGCATTGGAATGTGGAAATAAATGTGCTAATGTATGTAATAGCTAATGTTAAAAAAACATTGTGATAGTATTATTCTTACTATTATTATTATTATTATTATATAGTATTATTCTTACTAAGGTCCACCCTATCTCCCCCAACACACACACACACACGCAAAATTATATCTCAGGCAAAACTGTACTTGGAATACGCAATCCTCTTGAAGAAGAGTTTCAACCTTATAAAGGCATAAAATGGAAAGTCTATGAGGCCTTTAACTGGTATATGGACAAATTGTTGTATATGCATACAATGGCATATTACTAATAAAAGAAAAATTACAATAAATTTAAATTTGCAAATTCTAATTGGTTTTATTTGCAATTCTCGAATCAGGCAGCAGTCTGGACCAAAAATGGTTTAGAATACTCTTTCCTACTAGGTAGGCCAGTTATATTTATAACCAGAGAAAAAGAAGTGCCATGAAGGTGCCTGGCGATGTGGTGCACACCTGTAATCCCAGTGGCTCTGGAGGCAGGAGGATTGCGAGTTCAAAGCCAGCCTCAGTAACTGTGAGGCCTCAGCAATTCAGTGAGATCCTGTCTATAAAATAGGGCTGGGGATGTAGCTTAGTGGTTGAGTGCCTCTAAGTCTAATCTCCAGCACCACCACCCCCTCAAAAAAAAAAAAAAAAAAGTGCTAGGAAGAAAACTGAAGTGAGGTTTAGACAGTCTGATTGGTTCTGGCAACTGCCTGTCTTATTTGAACATGGTTTCGTCAGTTGGCTGCTTGTGATTAGCTGAGACTGCTATTTGGTGGAAGGATAGGTTGCAATCTGTTTACCCAAGAAGTTAGGTTACAGTTCACTATGAAAGATGAAATCTTTATGTAAAAATTCAAATGCAGGAAAGCCAGCTTAGGTCAAGTTTAACATTACCAGTTAAATGAAAGTACTGATCCATACAACAGGATAAATCTCAAAAAGCATTACATAAATTCAAAGCTGCCTGACACTAAAGATAAGATACTGTATGATACCAATCATATAAAATCCTAGAAAAGGCAAAGTGATAGCATTTGAAAGAATATCAGCGGAAGCCAGGCTCAGAGGGGATGAATTGGAAAGGGACACAGGGAAACATGGAGGGTAAAGAAAAGGCCCTTCATATATCATGATTGTGGGGGTATTACACAACTCTCTACATAGCTACATATCAAAACAGAACTGCATACTTATAATTTGCAACTTATTAGATATAAATTACAACTCAATAGAACTGACAAAAACAAAATAATCAGGAAGAAATGCAATGAGAAAAGGTGAAGGCTTGACTTGCTATCTTCTAAGCGAAAAGTAGAACTCTGTTGTCAAATACGCTAGCCAAATGTAGCTATTGAATATTTGATGTATAGATAGTAAGACAAAAGTATTGAAGTGTAAAATACACATTGGATTTTGATGATTTAGTAAGAAAAAAATCTAAAGTATCTCGTTAATAATTTTACTGATTATATATCTTAATAGTTTCCATGTATTGGGCTCAATTAAAAAACATTAAAATTAATTTTACCTGTTCTTAACTTTTTAATGAGGCTACTAAAAATACGTGGCTTCACTTTTATTTCATTAGACCCTCAACCCTCATCTAATGCACTACTTTAGATATTCAAGACAGATTCCTGAATAGAAAAGATGATATACAAGTTGATATGTTTTGTCAAAGGGAATAACACTGAAGCTAGGTAAAGAAAAGAAATTGTGAAGGGGAGGAGTCAGCACAGGTTTGAGTGACCATGCTTATGTACCAGCAAGTCCTGGCTCTTAAAGAGAAGACAAGAGAGGCCATGCCTCAGAAGCAGTGTAGACAGGTTGAGAGGGTGTAGTCTGACTATATGAAGTATGCAGACCAGGAGAGCCTGAGGTCCCACAGTCCTAGGGGCTGAATCAGTAGATGAAAAAGCCAAATTCAGAACAAGAGGAGACTAGTCAAATCACAAACAAATGCTTGGAAAAGGAAGTCATGTGGTCCATAAACCAACAGCATTGGCATCCACTGGAGCTCTTCATGCAAAATCTGTCTCACCCAGATTACTCACAATCTGTACTTTAAAAAGATCTCCAAGATGATTGGTATGTATGTTAAAGGTTCAAAAGCTCTGTCTTAGTGAAAAGACCCTGTTTCCCAAGTAGATATATTTTAGGGTGCAAAACAGCTAGAAATGGGGAGGGAAGGCCAACGAATGGAGTGATATTAAGATCTAAAGCATCTATTACAGTGGAAGATGACATAATATCAGAAAGGATTTCAGAAAAAAAGTCAGTGACTGAGCAGGGGTTATGGTGCTGATTCAGGCTAGGGGCTCAGAAGAGGGAGAAATGAAAAGGGCAGGCTCCAGGGAGCCAAAGTGCCAGTGGGATAAAACAGTTGCAGTTACACT